ATAACTTAAATAATTTTCTAATTAAAAATTACTTTAACATGTCAAGGCTTCTCCTTCCTTACCATGTGCCTTCGTGGTGTAACTGGAAAACACGTCCGGCTAGCAATCGGAAAGTGAGAAGTTCGATTCGGCAGTAGCCTACTTTTCACGTTTCCTGTTTCGAAATGAAACTCTTATTGTTATCTAAGAAAAGGTCATCATAGAAAAGAACGATTTTTTCACTTACGTGTCTCCTCAGTATTTCTTCCAGTCTTTTTTTTTTAATCTCCTGCAATGTTAAAGTAGCTAAGAATTATGTAGTAACAATTCTGAACTTGCTATTTTTTAGCACTAAATTTTTATGTGATGTTTGTAATACTTTCCATTTTTTAACAAAACTTTTAAACATTAATGGTTAAGTCGACGGCATTTAAACATTTACTTTACAACAGAATTTAATGCTATTAGCTTACATAATTAGATCGCATTAGTTTTAAATACACTGTAAAGTAATCTAATGTAAGTAGAGAACTTATGGTTTTGTATTACTTCAACAATACAATTCTTGCGCAAGCACTTATGATACACTATTGTTGGATTTAATCTTTTACAAGATAAGTTTTCTTCAGCTGCATATTTTCTAATTCACTAAATAGTGATTCCTTACAGAATGCTTACTCTGAGCCTTATAAGCGTCTTTCAAATGCAAAACTAGGTCTAATCAACTACATTAATGTCCTAAATTAACTACATTGGCATATTTGAAAGCCTGACTGCGGCATTAAATTGCTAAAATTGAACCGGCATATTTAAAATCTGGGATGTTATTTGTTATGCTACTAAAGATTGTAAGGCATTATCATCTTCTCAAGCATATATTTTTATGGTGTAAGGAGTTAGCACATCCAGTTGGTAATTGTTGGAGTTCCGCCGGTGGTACAGTACGCGTTTAATATTTTACGTTCCTAATAAAGAGGGCTCACCAATTAAAAAGTGCTGGACGATAATTAGTCATCACCTGGAATGTATCGACAAGTTCTCGTACCTCTCCTCGTTTGCCTTTTAGGTGAGAGAGAATGTAAGGAATTATCGCATTTCCTTACGTTGTAAATCATTGGCACATCCACTGGGAACTGGAACATGAGAAGTTATTATCCCGACGAGATCACTGTTGATTTTTCAAGTTTTCTGCTTCGATAAACTTAAAAGTATCTACAGACTTAGAAGTTGATCATAGAAGGTATTTTGGTAAGCTCCTTTTATACCAAACATCTCAGAATCTTATATCGCATTTTACGAACCTTAAAGTCGTTGTCTTTCAGCCTAGTGAAAAGAAAAAGAGGAAACTGGCAAAAAAATAAACTGTACATCTTTATAATAATAAAAATCACTTATCTCTATTTTTAAGTTCGTGCAGTACCATTTCATAATAATGTACAATTTTATTTTCAGAAAATTTAGCTCACAGAGTTGCTTGAAACAAAGCGCTGAACATATGTTACAACGTATGATCATTTGTATTTTGCATTTTATGTAACTACAGCTTTTGAGTCGAGAAAAGGTGTCTTCAGGATTACTCGGAGGAATAATGTTGTTGAAAATGCAACAGTATGCTTATTCTGGTATGTAAAATGTTCCTATCATCTTTATCAATGAACACGTAATCTCTTCAGATTGCTATCCTCTTATCTCCAAAACCATAGCTTTGGAACGTAGCGCTCTTAATAGTTTCTAACGCTTTACGCAAGAGTGAAGCTTGCGAATTATTCATTCTTCCCTATCCGAAATATTTATCTGAAAATTAAATGCTTCTACTTCAACAAAGGGTTTGCAGAGCATCGTAACTTTATCCTGCTCGGTGAACCATCCGTAAATGCTCTAGCAAATTGTTTCAATGAAGGGAAAGACTAAAAGAGAGCGACTAAGGAAGATGTAGAAGAAGAATGGTACTAGGGCATGCTATTTCACTTTATAATAGGATTATAATGTACACAACAAGGTTTATCAAACTTCTCTCTCTCCTTTTTTTTTTTAAACTTTTCCTTCTGAGGAGACAAAACATTTACTCGACACTTGAAAAATTGCATTCGCCAAAACTGCAGTGCACAGTTACAAGATTAATAAGGTACATTAAAAATTAAGAATCCCATTTTAAACATTTATTAAAGAACAAATTTTACAATAGCGATTATTTTTATATTTTACGCTTCGTGGGTCAAAAAGGTATATGCGACTTTATTCGAACAGACACCAAAGTTCGATGACACAACTTTTGAAACGTAAAATGATAAATTACTTTTGCTAAATCCAAACATTTCTATTTGACCTCCAATTCGACAGCGTCTGGTGTTTAAAATCGCTTCTTTTTATTAAATTTGTCTTTTTATTTAGCATTATTCTTAAAACAGTCAGAACTTGACAGAGCGAGTTGTAAACAAAGCCAGTAAATATTCGATTGTTGAAATGTTTTACAAACATTCTGAAGCCGTTTGCGTGAGTTTTCCAGGAAACTTCCGATGAAGTAATTCCTAATATGCTTAAACTTCACATATCTGACCTCACATACATCATCATCATTCATTATTAATATAAACGTGTTTGTTCATCTTTTGTTTACGGATTTCGATTTGCTTGAATAGAGTTCCTTCATCAACAAGAAAAATATCCGTGCACTACCTGACAATGAGACAAACGATGCTTCCCTGTTTATGATTTGAAAAAATTCTCAAGGCGTTAATTGTAGCAGAATGAAAACGCATCTGTCTTTAGTAGACCAAAGTAATTGACTGTGACAATAGTTCTTATACGTGTTACATGAAATCGTGACCTTTTGTGTGAAAAAAAGAGACTGAAGTGTTTTGAACCAGAACATGAGATCAGGCCTTTCCCTATTGCAAATAATCCATCTTTTTAATGTAAACTGCTATCAAGTTAATAATATTTTTAAAGCAAACCATATGTGTTACATTACATATCATTTCATATTCTATGTTATTTTAGTTTGATATTTAATAGGGTAATTTTACCATATGGTACATACTTTTTTAATTAATTAAGGTGCTTTGATTATATATTACACAGTTCTCCAACTGATAAAATTGAAGAGATTTTTACAACATATATCTTAAGAAAGTAAGGTAAAAATATGAAACTTTTACATCTGGTAACTAACGTAAAGACTTTTACATTTTGCATCGATTTTACGTTATGTATATGCTAAAGAATTACTTTTACAGTTTCTGTCTGAGGTAGGATGTTATCAGTTTTAACAGGGGGAGAAATAAGTATCACCAACTACCTGGACAACTTGTTACTTCAATCAGGGCTTTCATCACAACATACACAAAGTTTAAGTTGCTAGAGTACATGTAGAGAAGACATTATGATCGACAAGAAAAATTCATGAGCAAATCAAGACGATATCATTATGGTAACTATATTTATCAAAATTCTGGATATATCTCATTCCTTATATTCTCCAAAATACACGATTCTACAAGATTCAGGTTATAAAGTGAACCTGACTGAAAGGTATTGATTTCGGCTGCAAGCAATGTCTCTTGAAGCCAAACACAGTGAGGCTACCTTATATAAATGAGTACCTGCTTAATCTAAAATCTCATTTCCAATTTATTTTGAATTTTTATTGGATGTTTTGTGTTAGGCATAAATGTTAACTAATATGCTGACTTAAATAATAATGTTGAGTAATGTTGGCTGATCTGCCTTACTCTGCCATCGACTAAACTGAGATAGATATATTTATTTGCGCTGGCAGACGTCAAACTGTAGTTTCTGATGGAGTGGCTAGCTCTTCAGTTACATACTACTGTTATTAAATGTGCTTTAAATCAGAGCACATTTTTAATATTCGTAAATAAATGTGACGTATTTAATGCAGCATTTAGATGCTTTTAACTTCAGAAAGAAAGGAGAGCAGGAAGGCCGTACAAAAACATTTAATAGATTCTCTCCTTATGCAAAAAATGTTTATATTACTTAGGGATTTTGAACGGTTCAGCAACAGGAGAAAAAAGCGAGTCTATTGAGGATTATTTTATACTATAATATTTAAAATTTTATTATTTTAATACAGAAATTGAGTTTTTATGCTGCTCACAAAAAGTTGAAAGATTTTTTACATTTCAAAACCCTTTTAAATTTACATATACATATACATACATATATATGAAAGAAAAATAAAGAATATGTAAACGATTAAATTAGCAACGTAAATTTCCCTTCTCAATTCTAAAAATAGTAACCTCTATTTGCACTACGTCATTTCGAGAAAAGGCTATTCTTACGCAATTCTGATGATGTAAATGAAACTAAAACTCAAACAGCCAATAGTAATTTTACAGCCATATTAACTATCCAATCAAAATGCATTTGGAAACCAAAACTAACTCATTCTGAATTAAAATTTCACCCTGAACATAACGCACTTGCTTACTACGCTTTGGCCTGGCTGGACTGCTGTCTGTTTGCTTCTGCTATCTTACTGCAAATTTATCTAAAATGCATAATTTTTGGAATAGGCACAATTAATGTGTCAACTTGTTTGTGTCCGCAACATGTCTGCTCAAATAAAAAATGGATAGTTAATCTGCCTTTTCCTCCAATTTCCTACTCATTATGGATCAACACGTCTACGCCATCAAAATTGCTGCTAGTCTTCATTTCTGACTTTGTTTTTATCACACACACATACACACACACGCATATATATATTTATATATATATATATATATATACAGCCAAACAGTAATCAAAATCGCGATTCTGTTATGCTTTAACCTGTCATTGAGGAGTGGAGATCAAGTAGCAGATTTCTCCTACCGTCTGAACGGTATGCCGTTATTAATGGGTTCTATTGTTCCTTTCCTGTTTCCAGATCTTCTTTATTATCTTCTAGCGCGAATTTATTCTCTTTATCTTCTAGCGCACTTTTGTGTGAACATAGAGGTTGTGGTGCTTTGATCCAGAACATGTTTCAATAAACAATTGTTAACACTTACCAGGTGCGGACGACTTTTCAGGTACACGCCGACTGAGGTCAGGAAACTCGAAGACGTCAGCTACAAAAGAAAGACACAATGTATAACTTACTGATTGTATAAAGCAATTAATTATGCAACCAAACAAAATGTAACAGAAAATATTTAAATAAGTTTTCTAATTCTGCAAAGTAACTAGTAATTCGTATCTATAAATGGTAATAGAAGAAAAAATTAAATGATAAAGGTTACGGCACACATGTTCCTGCACAATTGCCCAACAATCGTTTAATAAATAAATTTATAAATGATGTTTGATCTGTCATAGAAGCAAATATTTTTAGCATTAAATATTATTTTATAATATTTAGATTATGCCATCTTAGTACTTTCGTAAGCTATGATGTTTGTTTTGCCACGGATTCATGTCTGATATGTTGTCTATATATTTATGTGGTTGTGTGTGTGTGAAAGAAAACTGTAACACTTACCATTTTTTTTTCTTTTCATTTGATAAATTTAATTGTATATTTATAATTAATATTTCTGTAACTGATTTTTATGATATTTCATCTGTACTTAATTAACGCTATGGACACATATGCTTAAATAATAGTAAGAAGCAAACGTGAAATCCTCTGTCTAGTATCATTCAAATCGGAAAGTTAAATAAAATATAATGTTATGCGAACTGCATATACCGAGGAAATGGTCAAATTATTTTATTTTGTCTTCTTCTAACAAGTGATCTTGCAGACGTAAAATTTGTAATAACTTGCTCATCCCTTTTAAGCCTGTCTATTTGTAAGTAATGTACGATCTCGTTACGCTAAAATAAAAAACTGAATGAGATGCCCAAACATGACTTCATATTTCCTTGCTCCCACTCGTAGACAAGTGGTTAAAAAGATGGCTGAATGCTGGTAGCTCACCGTGGCTTCTGTTCAAATTTATGTTAACGCGCTGAGTGCATGTTTGGTTTAATGGTTTTACTCATGTGTATCGCGAATACGAACACTCGAGCACGAGGGCGAAGCACACCAGGGCTGTCTGTCTAAGGAAAGATTTCAGGGAGGACTTTCTAAGGAGTATTGGCTCGTATCCACATTAGACACGGGTAAAATGACAAAACCAACCATTCAGCCAGTCCTTTCGCGTGGGATCGAACCCAGGTTGAACTCAGGAGCAGTCAGCGATCTTAAAATCTCAGCCACTTATACGGCATTGCAGATAGCCGTCACGGACATAGTTTTAATTAATGCCAACCACTTACAATGCTTGAAAGCTACGTTTGATCATTAGGTACTGTCATAAGAACATAATTGAAAATCTGTACGAAAATTTTTCATGTACCGCAAAAAATAAAACGTGACATAAGTAGTTTCTGAAACCGGAAAATCTTTAAAATAAGGAAACAAATGATAAGCATAGCAATGACTTTTTTTTAAAAAATACCTTGATTGCGCAATTTGATAAAATAATGGCCAATGGTATGCATTTTACAAAATGTAATTATCAAAAGGGAACAACGTAATTTTACATTTTTAAAAATTGTTTACAGTTACTTGCTTTATTCATTTATTTAGCGCAGGGGCAGAAAAAAGTAGAAATAGAAAGCAGATGATTGTATTAATAAGCAGATGATTGTATTTATAAAATTGTTATTTATCTACTTCAGTGATTTTTCACACCCACCAAAGAAAACTTTGATTTATTTATATTATTTTCTGAAATCTTTGTAGAGGTTTCTACAAAAATATTTATGTACGAAAGGCAAACTCTAGCTTTTAACAGTTATATTTTGTTACAAGCGAAGTAAAGGAAACTTCTACAGTTTTGACTGTTTTTTTTTTTTTTTTTTAAGAACAAACCTACAACTGGCCGGACAGCTCCAAGTAAACTTAAATTTTTGTAAATTTTTGCTTTGCCCTTCTCAAATGCCTATTACTAAAAGCGGCCTGCTATATTGTGAAAAAGCAAAACTTCGGGTCTTAATTTGTGTACATATAAAGGCATGTATATGCATATATGTATGTAAAGATAGATTAGCTGATTGTTATAAAAAATGATTTAATGGATCTTTTACATTACAGAACAATACGCGTCAAATAATTTTCTGAGTTAAGATTTATAACAACATACTTCAGTCATCAGCTCACTTCGTCTAAAACTTTCTGAAAAAATAAATATATTTCTTAAAGTAGTTTAGTAATTCGAATAAATTAAGAAAAAATAGAATAACGCACTTTAAAAACGTTTTATTGGTATTATTTTCTTTGAAAATAAGAATACTGTTATAGGAGATAAGAAGAGGTGATTTAATTTAACAGTAACCAGCATGCATCCTTGACTAATATCGTATGTATTTTCTTTTTTTTTGGGGGGGGGCTACATTTTGTTTCTAAAATTTGAAAAGGTCTTTTAAATTGTATTTTCATAAATAAATTGCAGAATGAGAATAAGATGTTTAATTATCGTATTACAAATAGATTTACATATTTAAATTCTAAATACTTCTATACCACAGTTGTATTTAATTTAGCAGCTTATTCTACATTATGTTCAGAACTACTGTTGCTTTTATCAAGTTGTAGAGTTGCTCGCCTCCAACTTGCACGCAACCAAGAGGTGACTGGAAAAATGACAGAGTCTTGCTAAGGGTTTAAGTCCCTTCATTCAACTTAAGAAGTTACAAGTACGTGCTCTTGACGCTCACAAACTACGCCGACTCGGCGGTAAAATAAAAATAAGAATCTGAAAAGAAACTAATAACAAGACTCTAACTACGAGGCTCTCTAAAAGTAACTAACCTCACCGCGTTTTACAATACCGCCGCTAATTCAGCAAACTTTGAATATCACGTTGAACGATTAACAGTTCTCCAAGGCAAGCACACAGGCCGAAACGCGGGTTTCTTCAATTTCTGTCTAACTACCTCCGCGCTCGTGAAGTAAGAACAGCACACTTCGAACTCGTTTCCTTTCTATTTAACTCAGAATACTTCCGCTGATAATTTGAATCCTTGCGCGTTCTACTAAAATTTACATACTCTGGCATTGGCAGTTCCAGGGAAAAGTAAGGCTTGACAGGAAAGATAGTTTAAACTTAAAATAAATATAAACCCTACAAAGTATTCACCTACACTATTGTTTTTTAAGTGCTATCCTAAGATGCAAAGCGAGCGAGGCCTTTCGTTCTAGGGGATCTTGTTTTCAAATAAATACAGTGCATACCACTGTATTTATTTGTTTAATGTTTAATTATTGCAAAACATTCGAGGGTTATTTTCTTAAGGGAAGAAATAGTTTCACGGAGGTCTTTTTAAGGGATACTGGTTCGTATACACATTACACATGGGGAAAACCTCGAAAACGCTTATGCCAGCCCGTTGGAAGGAATTGAAACCCCCGGACCGAACTACCAGCATTCAGCGACTTCACCGCTCGGTCGCTGGTGGACTATATTTATCTCTTTGTAGAAATTGTTTTGGTGCATGCTACCCTGTAACGGAAAAGAAGCAATCTAACTTACGAAGGAAAATCATTAAGCAATGCTGTTCATAATTTTTAAAGGGTTCGTAAGCAGAATACTTTATTTTAAAATTGTCTCAAAACATGCATGAAAACGGTAAATCTGCTTTATTGGATGACGATAATATTTATTATACAGAATTCATTCAATGTGGTCTTCCACACGTCCGCTCCCAAAAAACGTTTAAAATAAAGTGCTCGCTTGCAATTTCGATGGCCTTAGGTTGCTGAGAAATGCCATCGTTTAAAAGTTTTTTTTTTCATTGATAACATCGATAAGGTGCGGCTCTAAATGCGGTTTATAAATCTTCTATCATTAAGTACTTCATGAAGTATTATCCCCTGATGATCAGTAGTATCAAAGACTGAAAGCGATGCTTTATAATATATGGTACGCAGTTCGTCCTTCAACGGTTCTTTTGCTTTTTAAACTTTCATTTCTTGTGCTGTCTGTGATTAACTAGATAAGATTTGTTAATGCTCATAACACAGATTATTCTTTCATACAAACTCAGCTTGGGGGGGGGGAGGAGATGCCTTTCTTTATTTTTTGCAGTTTTGAAAAAATACGTTGCTCTTTTAACAGCTAGTTATCGAGATACCTCTTTTTAATCAGCTTCAACCATGTTAACCTTCACTGCAATAACAGAATATCATTTCTGCAAAATCGGAACATATTTTGAAGTGAGAGGAAGTTTGTTGTCCATGTATGCACACAGGTATTTCACCAATCTCTTCAAATTAGATTTGATTTGGTCTGTTTCGTTACGGCAAAGCACTTAGGGGGCTATTTGCAGAATTGGAGAGGTGCCTTCGTGGAGGACTTTCTAAGAGAACCTGGATCGTATGCACGTTACACATTGGGAAAAACAGAAAAAAAAACCATGCAGCCGGCCCGTTCGTTGGGATTCGAAACCCGTACTGAACTAACAGTGTTTGGCGAATTAACCGCTCAGCTGCTTGTAGGCCCTCTTGCCAAATTCGAAGTAAAGATTTTGTTTGAGTGCTACAGAACTACAAGTACTAGTACTAGATAACTAAAATAATTTCTATCGACTATTTGCATCAAATATTATTTTTTATACATTCGCTTTGTTGCCAATAATATTTATCACAAGAAAGGTTAGTATCGCAACAGCTTGAAGAGAAAGCTTCGTACACAGATGAGAATTAGATGCATTATTACTAGCAGAAAAAATAATACCACTTAGTGCCTTTTATTACCATTCGTACTGCACAAGTTGATTTCCGTAATATTAATGAATGAGTTGCGAAGTTATTTCAAGGTATTTATATTTCATACAAATCAGACCTTTAACTGTGCAGGTAATTTTATCAACAGACGTGAAGAATTATCGACATACTCAAAAACTGCAAAATTATTAATTAAGTACTTAAATTTAATTTAGCATGAAACTTAGTCAGTAGCAATAGATAAACAGGTAATTTATTACGCTTGCAAGGGATTATCTTCATGATAAAAATGTACTCCTGGAGGATTTTGAAGTGGAAATAGGTTGGTGTTTAAACAACGCATGCAGTAGTCCACAT